AGCCCTTGATCCAGGACACGATTCGAGCAGTTCACTCTGCCTTCAGAAGCCGTGGGCTGACTCTCAATCTTGACCGCGGTAAATCAGAAATCGTTGTTTTGTTTCGAGGTGCTGGAGCCAACAGATGTCGCACTGGCTTATTTGACATTGAGCAGACTCCTTCCATCACAACTGCAACTGATTCCCACATCTTGACAATGAGGGTCACATCAGAATACAAGCATCTTGGCGTCCGATTTGCAATGAACCTTGACTATGAGAAGGAAATCAAGGCCCGGATTGGCGCTGCCAGACAGGCGTTTGAGCAGATGAAGAAGCCGATCTTCCTGAACCAGGCCATAACAGTCCAAGGGCGCTTGATCCTTTTTCAGAGTTTGCTGCTTTCGAGACTGCTCTATGGATGTGCAGCGTGGGCAGAGCTTTCTGCCACTGCATACAGACACCTTGATGCCACCTTTGTGACCTCTTACCGCAAAATCTGCAATGTGGGGGCTATTGGAAGGCTGTCAACATGACTGACAAAGATTTTATGCAGTGCAACAGCCTGGTGACCTTCCGCATCTTTTGGGCCAAACACAGGCTTTGCCGGCTTTGCTATCTGCACCATTTGGCTCATCAAAGCCTCACTTTTCACAAAACATTGCTTCTCAGTGAATTCGAACAACGACGTGGGTGGTTGTTTGAAGTTGCAGAGGACCTCTCTTGGCTTTCGAGATTCTGCTCGTTGCCTTTTTCCATTCCGAACAGCAGAGAAGGATGGATTGCAGCATGGCAAGCTCTACGAGACTGCAGCAGGTGGCCACGATGGGTTCACCATGCCGTTTGAAAGCATGTCGAGCAGGAAAAGATTGCCTACGAGGTCAGACACTATCATGCCTGCATTCGAGAAGAACTTGAAGAGGCTGGCATGACTCTGCATGCGATTGCACCTGTTGAAGAACAGACTCAGAAGAAGTTTGGGTGTGCACATTGTTCATGCACCTTTCCAACAGCACAGCAGCTGGCAGTTCATGCCTTTCGACTTCATCAAGTACGAGCTGAGGAAAGTTACTATGTGCAATCTGAAGTCTGCCCAGGATGCTTACGCACTTTCCATACCACTTTTCGAGTACTACAACACTTGCGATACAGAGGCAGCCTTTGCTGGGACCGCATCAAGGATGTGCGCAGCAAGGATGTGCCTGCCCAAGTGCAACTGCCCCCACATCTCGCTGGGGTGTGTCGACTTCCTGCGGTAAGGAAGCACCATGGCCCTTTGAGACCAACAACCAGGCAACGTTCCATTCAGAGATTTCGCAATGAACTTGCGACGCTACAAGCAGAAGGAGAAGAAGACTTTGCCTGGTGGGATCCCTTCACCGAGATCGAGTTGAAGAACAAGAGCGCACAGCTCTTTTGGGCCTCCCTTGCCGAATGGCTTTCTTTGAGCATTCCCTCCGTCCAACCTTTTCTTTGGTAGCATGCTCTCCATGAATATCGAGGATATGAAAGCAGCACGCCTCTTCATTCATTGGATCGAGACAGAGCTCGCTGACTTTGTCCCTGAGGACGATCAAGTTCAACATATGCAGCTCCTGGAGACCGCTTACATGTCTGTGCTAGCAGATCTACGCCCATGGACCTTGCGGCTCCGCTACAAGGAATTGGAAGCTCAACTACACAGCCTTGAACAAGCTGACGACTGCTCCGCGACCACCCCAACACAACCTGCAACCGCGGAAAGCACGACAGCACTCCATCGAGGTGGACTATGCCAACATGGTGGTGGATGAGCAAGAGCGAAGGATTTGGAGGATGGATAGAAGACCGCAACGCAATCCGACCCCTGAGCAGGGTCCCTTCTACATCATCCATCTCTACGCTGGCCGTCGCTGTGACAGGGACTTCCACTACCACATGAACTGCCTTCTAAAAGAAGGCAATCATGCGTGGGCCACATCGGTCACAGTCATATCGCTGGATACTGCCATCGATGAGGCTATGAATGTGCACTCGCCCAAGCTTTGGTCTTGGTTACTTGCTGCTGCCGAAGCAGGAAGAATCCTGGGCTTCCTCTTGGGCCCGCCGTGCGAGACTTGGAGCAGTGCCCGACATGAAATCATCGAAGATGTTGAAGGCCATCCAGTTAAAGGACCGCGACCTCTTCGGCTTGCGGACCAATGCTGGGGCATCGAAGGCCTTTCCTTGCGAGAACTACGCCAGCTCTCGGTTGGAACCTGCCTTTTGCTACGTGGCTTGTGGCTTTGTGTGCCGATCGCACTGAGTGGTGGAGCTGTACTTCTTGAACATCCTGCACCGCCTATGCAGATGGATCGACCCTCCATTTTTCGCACGGGCATCATCACTTTGCTCCTGAGAGAAGGATGGCTGTTCAAGAGACACACCTTCCAAAAATGGAAGCATGGGGCACAAGGGGTGAAGCCCACTTCCTTGTTCTATGCCAACAACTCCATCCCGAAGGTCTTGGACGAATTAGCTCTGCAGTCGGTGGAACGACCGGCCCAAACCTTGATCGGGAAAGGCCATGATGGCCTCTTCCGAACTACGGTTGCCAAAGAGTACTCGATAATTTATGCGAGTGTTTCGCCCATGCCATTTGGAGGCACATTTCGGGCCTTCCGATCCGAAGTGACGGAATTTTGCCCACTGATTTTGCCAAAGAATTGGCGCTTTTGTCTTCCAGGGTGGATCCCGGAAAGACAATGAAGCCTGACTATCAGCCAACAACAGGCTGATGGGTCCCCAGCATGATCCCCGCGAGGATCTCTCAAATGGCCGAGGAAAAAAATTATGCTTCACATTGGTGTAATGACTTCAAATTCAATGAATAGGACCAACACACGTACACAGGTTCCTCCATGTTCCTCCTAGACTCAATGCGACACAGCGGATGTATCGTAATCGGCCTTCAAAAGCATGGAAGGATTCTGAAAGGTTCTGTGAGGGGTCGGATCACATTGGGGAAAAACGGGCGGCAGTCTCTACCCTCGTAGGTAGCGGGGCAACAAACTCATCTTGCTGATTCCTGACCAGTCCCGAAAAGGATCTGCAAACCAGTCCGGAAGAAAACGGAAAGCGAGTCAGCAAGGGGGCAGAAGGTAACACAGGGTATCGTTGGCGTTCTAGTTCTAGCACGCTTGGCCCGAAATAGCTGCAAAGGCCGAACATAGGCCCGAAGTGGCCCAATATAAGCCTATATTTTGGGTCTATGCAAGTGGCTGCAGCGGCCAAACATTCGTCAAAACGGGCCCCGGCACTGACCTACCCCGTCCTCTCCCTTTACTGTTGGGTTGAGCGTTCACTTTATTTTGGGTCTATGTTGGTCCATCTTGGGACTATGTTGGTGTTCTTGTTGTGCTTCTGGTTGTCTTGTTTCGGTTCTCGTTGTCTTAGAGGTTGTTGTGAGCTCGTTGATGTTATTGGTCCTTCTTTGCTTGGCCTATCTTGGTGCATGTTGCGCATGTTGCGCCGTCTTGGGGTTTATGTTGGAGCATCTTGGGACTATGTTTTGGGGTTTGTTGGCCTATGTTGGCCCATCTTGGGATTATGTTGGGCGTTCCTGGGTTCTATGTTGGGCCGTCTTGGCTCTATCCTGGGGCCATCTTGGGACTATGTTGGGTTTTGTTGGGTCGTCTTGGGCCTATGTTGGCCCAGCTTGGGACTATGTTGGGCGTTCCTGGGTTCTATGTTGGGCCATCTTGGCTCTGTGTTGGCCTATCTTGGGGCATGTTGCGCGATGCAGCAACTTGACTCCTTGTAATTCTCCCCAAAGAGCAGTTTTTACTGTAATTTACAGTGTTTTTTGCACATTTCCAACACCGATTTTGACCCCCAAAAGTCTGCAAATCACCCTGCCCCCACCCCCCCATGCCTGCCGCCGAAAACGTCTCAGCGTTTCCAACGCTTTCCGTGCCCCCCCCACCCCCCCCCATGGCTGCCGCCGATAACGTCTCAGCGTTTCCAACGCTTTCCGTCATCACCCTGCCCCCCCACCCCCCACCCCATAGCTGCCGCCGAAAACGTCTCAGCGTTTCCAACGCTTTCCGTTGGGCGTTCCTGGGTTGTATGTTGGGTCATCTCGACTCTGTGTTGGCCTATCTTGGGGCATGTTCCGCGATGCAGCAACTTGACTCCTTGGAATTCTCCCCAAAGAGCAGTTTTTACTGTAATTTATTGCACATTTCCAACACCCAAATCACCTTGCTCCCCCCACACCCCCTCCCCATGGCTCCTTATGTTGGGCGTTCCTGGGTTCTATGTTGGGCCATCTTGGCTCTATCTTGGGGTCATCTTGGGACTATGTTGGGTTTTGTTGGGTCGTCTTGGGCCTATGTTGGCCCAGCTTGGGACTATGTTGGGCGTTCCTGGGTTCTATGTTGGGCCATCTTGGCTCTGTGTTGGCCTATCTTGGGGCATGTTGCGCGATGCAGCAACTTGACTCCTTGTAATTCTCCCCAAAGAGCAGTTTTTACTGTAATTTACAGTGCTTTTTGCACATTTCCAACATCCAAATCACCCGACAATCCCCCACCCCCCCCATGGCTCCTTATGTTGGGCGTTCCTGGGTCGTCTTGTGCCTATGTTGGCCCAGCTTGGGACTATGTTGGGCGTTCCTGGGTTCTATGTTGGGCCATCTTGGCTCTGTGTTGGCCTATCTTGGGGCATGTTGCGCGATGCAGCAACTTGACTCCTTGTAATTCTCCCCAAAGAGCAGTTTTTACTATAATTTACAGTGTTTTTTTGCACATTTCCAACACCGATTTTGACCCCCAAAAGTCTGCAAATCACCCTGCCCCCCCCCCCCCCCCCCCCCCCCCCCCCCCCCCCCATAGCTGCCGCCGAAAACGTCTCAGCGTTTCCAACGCTTTCCGTCATCCTCCCGAACAAAACCTGTATTTGTTCCCGGTCGATTTGTATCTAGCATCATATCTTGAACTTCGGTCGTTCTGTAAGAAAAGATATTCGCAGCCTTCCACGGTTTCAAATCTTTGGCAAGGTGCAAAAGCAGCAAGGAAGCTGAGTAGATGTTGGAGAAGCCCTGGCCATGGTGGATTGTCAAACATGGGGCCTCCGAATGGGCCCAACTGGCGGGATTGCTTTCATTCTCTTCCATTCTCTTCCATCCTGAATCTTGGGCCTAAAATTTTCTGAAAACTCAGGTCTGGAATGGGCATTCCGGAATCGGCGCGTGTGTTCTTCAAGGATTCTACGGTACGAAGATTTACCCAGTCTCTGTACCTTCTTTACCAAGTGGAACCGGGGACGTTTCAGCAAGAGTGGATAAGTTGTTCACCAAATGAATCAAAGAATGCCCTTAGATCCTTCACCTCACTGTTTTGTTCAGGGTCAATTCACACAAACTGTGTCCTGCCAGCTCGCCTACACCTTGCCCAGGTCCCTGCACCTGTGTTTCACTGCGGATACCGAGCCCAGACATCAGTGTTATCCTGGGGCGCTGCATGCGGCAAAGGGTGTAGGTATTTGTAAAGGGGTAAGGAAACATGCAAGAACCATGAAGAACCAATGAATCAATTCAAGTCCACTCTGAAAGTGAGAAGCATCCGTGTAGAATAATCCTGAGACACATATAACAGAATTTTTCACAGATCTAGCAGGGATCATGGAGACACTCTGGAGGCACTTGTGACCAGCAAAGTGTCAGAGGGAGCTGCATGCCACCGTCTTTCAAGCTGGATCCTGCTCACTAATAAACATTCTGAGTGCACCATCCAAGCGGTGCGGGGATTTAGACAAACGCACCCGCAGCGTCTCATGCTTGGAACCAGATGTGACTGCCAGATTTTGTCTAAAGCGCAATCTGCAAGATATGCTTCTGTCTTTCACTTTCCTGGACCGAAACAACCACAGCACACCCTGATCACGTTGCATTTGTCATTCGACGCGCTGTATTCACTGTATTGGGGGTCTTTGGTGTCCAAGATATCCTAGATAAAACTTGGACAGCGACGATCTGCCAAGGCTCTGGACGAGCAAGATCGAAGTGAACAGGTCCTGAAATCAGTGTGCAGTGCATCGAGAAACCGAGGGACGCTTCGAAATTCTCCGGGGTTTTGATACTTTGGTTCTTGGACACTGATACGGACACTGATAAGTCACTAGTAGCTGGGGGCTTCATCCAAAGCATCGAAGCTCACGACCTTCTTTCAATGCACTTACCTGGTTGCTTCGTTTTTGGGCCTCCTTCCTATCTTGTTGATCGCCTGAAGTTCTGCGCTCACTCGATTCTGATGGATCCTGTCAAGCACATCCTTATGACTCGGTGACATTTAGCCACGCCTCGAACAAACAAGATCACGATTACAACTTTGACAAAACACTTGCTTACAAAACACTATTGTGGAATTTAGATGGGCGCAATAGGCTTCCCAAATTTGTTCGTTTACTCATTCTCGGCCACACTCTTGCTGTGAGGATCTCCCCTTCAGTGGCTCTTCTATGTTTCGGATGTCCGCGTTAACGTTAATTTTCATTAAATTTTCGAATTCTGTTCTCTGTCTTGCTCCCTTGTCTTTCATTTTTCCTGATATATCCTCTGAGTTATCCTGATGTCTACACACGCTTCTTGATGTCTACGTCAAATTTGTTTACTGGCTCTCATGCTTCGACCTCTTTGTTCATTGCTGCAATGCATGTATTCATATGCTTACTTCAGCTTCAGCCGTGATTCATCTCATGAGACCCAAAACATATTTGGATATCCCACATACACCACGATGTCTTCGCCTTCACATAGCTGATCGGAAAGAATCAACGAGCTCCCAACAGTGAGCCAAGCTGAGCCGAGTTGAACCGAGTTTCCATCCAATTCAGCAGTGGCACTTTCCATGGTCGGGCTGTTGCCCTGGGGCTCAATGACACCAGGATGGAAGAAGTGGCAATAAATGGAATGGACATGGAATGTAAATGGCAAATGCTGGGGATTGTTCCTTGAAAATGCAGGAAGTGCCAAAGAGGATCAAACAGGCGCAACTTGTGGATTTGGGGTGTACTCAGCGACACACGCCAACTTTGCAGTGATACCTTGCTGGGATTAATCTTCATCTTTGTCCCAAAACAATGGAAGATCTTACGATCTGATCAGCTCAGTTTCAAGGAGAATTTCAGCGCCAAGTGGCTGGATCGCAGTGTAGATGCTCAGGATCAGAGAATTCATACCTTGTGACATGAGGATTTCATCAATGCGTTCAAAACAAAACAAAATACAATTCGTAGAATTCGAAAAGAAAGAAGCGGAGGGGGGTATCATGTTCTTTTCCTTTCATACACAAAGTGCTAAAAAATGCACCACCTGCAGTTCTGTTGGCTGCTCCTTCCGTGACTTCCATTCCTTTGCCCAAGTCTGAACATAGCCACAACGGTAAGAATCACACATGACGTACAGTACCCACCCATCTGGCAATTCCTGTCATTCTTGCTACTCGTACTCCAAGGAGACCAATTTGCTGATGGAGTGAACATTTTGAATTGCTGAACCAAACTCTATTTTGCTGGGAACAAAAGCATGCTGTGACATCTCCTTCCGCATTTCAAAAAATCATCTTTCAGTCACCTGCTCTGCCAAATGTCTTTGCACCCCAGATGATGTGGAATGTCTGGAAATGTTGACAGCTGCTTTTTGAGCTGACAGGTTGCGAATACCTTCTCTTGCTACTGATGAAACCTGTCTCAGAACAATGCCCAGCCCAACACTTTTAACCACCAGAGTTGTTGATGTGGGACGGTTCTTCCGCATCAAACTCCATCGTTCGCGGCGGGAATTTGTCGCCTGTCCCGACAGCGAGTATGATTCCATCATGAGTTGTATCTTCGAATATTTTGTAAGCTTTTGTCACCTTCTTATAACAAATCTTGAGATCAACACGAGCATTCTATAAATGTCACATTGATATTCGCTAAGAACTGAAGAACTATGATCAATGCCAAATTGCATTTGAAGCAACAAAGAAGCTATAGGATACTTATTCAAACACACTTTTTTTTCCATATTTCTGCCGCTTTTAAAGTAGCTGGATGGCTCCTAAGCCACGAAGGAAGTTCTGAGCTGCACGGCGCTTAAAACCAAGAGTCTGAATCTGAATGCTGCATGCTATGGAACAGGTGCTAATGGGTAGGTGGGCCCTCGTATGGCGCAGTTTGTACCGCAACCCATAAGCAATGCGGCAAGCCACTCCCTTTGCACATAGTATTTTTTTCCGTTTTTAGCCAAAGTCATAAAATCGTGCCCGTGCAATCCACTTACCAGGGTCCAGAAGAATTGGGGTCAGTCACCTGGGGAGGTCTTTGCGAAGTCTTGAAGTCCATCGGCTTAGCTTAGCTTTTGACAGGAGACAAAGAAAAAAAGAGTAAATGAACAATATCTATCTACCTTTCGATCTAATCCAATCCGCTCTAATCTATCTGAATCTATCTACCCCTGCAGTCTTTTATCGCCATGACACAGACTTGCACGGCCGGATAATCTGTAGCACACGTCACCACTAAGGACATCAATGGGCCACGAAGGATCAACGGAATTCCAAACCTGGGGCCAAGTGGAGTGGAAAAGTGGATCAAAGTTTCCACATGTCACAGGAACCAATTCAAGTAGCTCAAGAACCCCTTGAAAACATTGCTTTTGACAGTCTGCAATTCCGCTAGGATGTAGCTATCTGTAAGGTTAATCCGAGTGGATACAAGGAAACCCGCTTCAAGTCGTTTGGCCGGAGACCATTTTGTCCGGCTTGTGGTCACTTCTGCACTCCCACAGAAAGCTTCACAATGGAACTTGCATCCTGGCCCACCCACATATACATATACAGGATTATACAGCAAGGTCTTGCTTTGTGCACTAAATCCTGTGACGTTGCGTTTCTTTATCAAATCTTAGACATCATGACTTGGTATGAGATGATTGCTCTCCAAGTAAAGCTGGGGATTCTTGTCCACTACAGGCTTCAACAGGGTGCCCATGTATTTCCGTTTGACTTTTAGGTGTTCAAATGATCCAGATGCTTGTCTGAGCGGCCACCACTTGTCCAAGCGAAATCGCTTGATTAGGAAGTTGAAACACTGAATCCGGCTCTTCATCTGCCTGGCCCACAGCAACTCCCAAGTGGAGCGAAATTCTCTTGACCCTCATGGTTTTTTCATGCTCGTAGTGGGATGAACCATTGGCAAGGTGGCCATAGAACACTTTCCAAACACTTCACTTTCTTCACTCTAACCAAGTTGGTTGGTGAGGGCTGCTGCAAGCAACATTTTGACGCTACAGCCACTGCTGTGACCAAGAAGGGTTCAAGCAACCCCTCGCCTGGCACTCCAAGAGGGTAAGGCAATGGTGGCACAGGTAACAACCACCAAGAAACCAATGACGAAGACGAAGAGCAAGAACACGCCTGCATGAGGATGCTTGATTTTCACTTCAAACAAGTAAGATTTGTGGGGAGCATTTCTACAGTCTGAGCGACTGCGCCACTGCAGAAACATCCGGCAAGGGTCCTCAGGTACAAAGAATTTCTCAGCCTTCAATTTCTCAGAAAGATCCAAACGACTTCAAGATAGGTGAAACAGAATCATATTTGCATAAATTAAAAGAACATAACATGACCCACTGCAGGATGATCTTGCCACTCGTTCAGGCCTTCTGGGAATGAAACCACAGCCATACTCGGGAAATCAAAAATACGTGTATACACTGACATGCAAGTATCCGCAAACTATGGACGTTCACATCTATCCCAGGTAGTACTCATTTCTGATTGCTAAGCTACAACCTGAATGTCGTAATACAGGGGCTGCAAGCCTGGAAAACTGCATAGGAATAGGCAACAACAGAAATTCGGAGGACGAGATTAGAACCAGCTCTGCCAAGATTTCGTTGATTGTGTTGGAGTTGGATCTACGATTTTCCAACTTAATTGTTGGGGAAGAGAGGGAGGTAAGGTTGAAAGCATCTGAATTTGGAGCAAGTCGGCTTGAGGTCATACACCATCCTGCCCCAAAGTGTAGCGCCTGCAACAATCATACCCATTTGTTCTGACCCACCACAGGTAACGCTGGAAAACTTCACCAAACCTGGGAACATCGCCATCATGGCCAAGGGCTTGAAGGAGGATCAAACCAAGGAACGAATCGGAACGAATTGGGATGAATTGATGGCATTTGCTTGTGATTGGATTGTAACGAAAATTGGAATGTACTGAGATTGCTTACTGAAATTTCATTGTGCAGGAGACAACGAAGGCCGATAGCTGATTGTGCAACTGCACGCCGAAGTCTAGAGATTCACAGCACTTCCCAGGTACAAGGTGGATGCACACCATTTTTTTCATCATTTTTTCAATAGTATATATAATATAAGAAATATAATATATAATAAATAATGCAATATATAATATATAATTTTATATAATATATAATATATAAAATACAACATATTATATATAATAAATAATATAAAATATAAAATATATAACATATAATAAAAAATATACAATATATAAAATATAATATATTATATATAATGAAGAATATGCAATATATAATATGTATGTACATCTACATGTACATGTACATGTATATGTATATGTCTATGTCTATGTATTTGCATATGCACATGCATATGCGTATGGATATGTATATGTATATGTATATTATATGTAAATGTAAATGTATATGCATATGCATATGTATATGCAAATGGATATGTATATGTATATGTATATGTAAATGTATATGCATATGCATATGCAAACGCATATGTATATGTATATGTATATGTATATGCATATGTATATCTAAATGCATATGCATATGCATATGTATATGTATATGCATATGCATTTGTATATGTAAATGCATATGTATTTGCATATGCATATGTATATGTATATGTATATGCATATGGATATGTATATGTATATGCATATGTATATGTAAATGTAAATGTATATATGTACCACGATCACCCTGTCACTGCCTTTAATATTCTGCACACGTCTGAGACATTATTTGTTTCCTCTTCAGAGGTGATTTCTGGACCTGGACAAACACTTCTTCAACTGGAAGGTTGTTGGGTAGGTTTGCAAGAGTGCCTTCAACCCGAGCTCAACTGTTTTTCTAGCTACCACATGACAGTGTGCCTCGGACCGACTCTCCCAAATCCAGTGTCAAGGGGCTGTAAGAACCATTCGGGTGTACATAGCACATCCTGACGAAACGAAGGAACCCGAGAAACCCGAAGAAACTTGGTGGAATGTGAAGTAATCAAACGCTCCCTGAAATTTCCCATAGTGGATTTGACAGCGACTTGTGAGGTATACCAAGTTGGACCGGAGATGACTGGAGATGACTGGCAGCAAATGATAGGTCCCTAGTCCCTTGCAAAAAATCTATGCAGAATATGTGAAGATCATTCTATCAGTTCTACAAGGAATGGGGCGCTCTGAATCCAACCCGTCATCTGTCATCTCTTCAGGTACTCATCGAAGGAAGTTTAGAAGTCAAACTTCCGACAATATGGGCAGATGGAAAAGCAGAGGTGGGAAGAGTCAGAGAAGAGAAGAAGCAAGAAGATCAGAGAAAGGGTCAGAAGAAAGAAGATGCAGGCGCGCGAAAAGGTAGAAAAGTGGCGATTCACTATGTTTTCCCAATGATTTGTGGCTCCAGCGGGTCGAAGAGTAGGCTCGCTAGGCTGGTGCGGAGCCATCTGGTGGGATGAGAGATGAAAAATTGCACGCTGTTGTGGCGCGGAGCACATTTCGAAATCAAAATGGTAAAAGCACCACATGTTCGGACCACTATTGGAAGTTGAGATGCTCAAAAAGCGCACAGCGTCAGAGTCGGACCGCTTTTGGAAGTTGAGATGTCGAAAAAGTGCACGCCGTTGTGGCGCGAAGCGCTTTCCAAGTCAAAATGTTAAAAACAGCACATGTTCGGACCACTTTTGGACGTCCAGATGTCGTTTTGCGTGGCAGGCGCAAGGGGTAGGCGTGGGACATTTGAAGAAGATCCGTAAAGATGCATTATCCGTGGCAGGGGCAAAACAAGAGACATGTTCATCAGAGATGTTAGGAGGTCCGAGCGCTGATTTCCTGAGAGGGGTTGCATTTTGGAGCATCAGATCTTCAGTTTTCGGAAGATGGTTTTGAGTAACAGGTGCAGCACTTCGTATGACCTGGCCGCACTTTTTCGTGGCAGGCGCAATATTTCAGACACATGGATTGGAAAAATCGCAAAACTAATTGGCACCAGGCCCTCAGCTCTGCACTCAGAATTTCTTCATTTTTGATGTTGCCAACTTCAAAAATTGAGGACGTCTCGCAGAATTGCTTCTTTTTTGACGTTGTCAAGTTTAAAAGTTGAGGAAGTCTGGCAGAATGGCTTCGTTTTTCATGTTGTCACCTTCGAAAATGGAGGAAGCCTTGCAGAATAGATGGATGGATGGATGGATGGATAGATAGATGGACAACTACAGCTGAAACTACAACTACACTACAACTACAGCTACAAATACAAGTGTACTAAGCTACAGTACACTAATTGCACTACACTACGCTAATCACACTACACTACAACTACACCTACAGCGACAGCTAAAACTACGTTACGCTACACTACACTAATTACATTACACTACACTACACTACATTACAATACAGTAGGCTACTCTACGCTACACTAAATACAGCCTCCACTACAGCTACAGCTACAACTACGCCACTTTACGCCACTTTACACTACACTAGACTACGCTACACCAGACTACGCTACACTAGATTACACTAAAGCACACAACACTACAGCACACTACACTACATTACATTACATTGCGCTACACTCATTACACCACACCACAGCTACAACTGAAACTACACTACACTAATTACACCACAATACAACTACAACCACTGCTGCGCTACACTACACTGCATCCAGCAGTTGTGGGGGAGGTGACCACTGCAACCATTGCAAACACTCCAAAAAACGCAACCCCAACCACCTTTCGGTCCATCAGTGGATTCGCCCTGCCATTCGTGATTCACAACAACCAACCTCTCCTATAGGTTTCCTATTTTTGAAACTTCCGCCACCGCCTTGCGCGGTACTGCTGGTAGGCAGCAGGCAGGATTCTCGATCCAAATGGATCCCACTTGTGAAAAGCGAAAAAAACGAGATTCAAGAGGACAAGATCGATTGCAATCTCACAATGCGATACCATTTTTCATGATGGAAATAATCTTCATTTTCCATGTGTTCCCATTGTGGCATCCGAGCGCTTCAAGAGGGTGAGATCTATCCTATGGTGCCGAGGGGCATGCTTTCTAATGCAATTGTGCTCATCGTAGCAAAGCTTGCCTGCACCCCGCTGGGACGGATTCCCTGGGGGAACTTATGAGATCGGGAGACCCACAAATCAACAGGTTGGGCTCGGCTGGATGCGAGACTGGGCATGAGCCTTGGACCTTGTCATGCATCTCCTTTGATTTTCCAGTTGGCATACCAAATCATACCGTTGCATACCGGTTGAACCATCCAATCCGAAAATGTCTTCGTACTGCGATGGTTTGGCTGCCAACTTCCATGACAAGCCCGACCTGCATGATGACACCAATTGTGTTGACACTCCTGAGCGTCCAGATTGGTGTTGCTCAGTGGTAGACTGACGGGGAACTCCTAGAATTGGAGAAAAGACGTTAGTTTTCCTCTTCTTGACTCCTCTCTGTGCTGTGAAACTTTGTCAAAAGCCTCTGGACTCATCAGAATCTTCTTCTGCTCATGCCAGACTCTTATTCTGAGTTCATCTAGAACGTCTGGCTGCTCTCTCTTCATGCCAGACAGTTCTACGTTTTGGAAAAATCCTGAGTCGGGACTTGTCATCCCGCTGCCTTCATTTGAACCTCAAAATATGCATTCCATTCTCAAGCGTCAACAAATGTCAACAGATGTCAATAGAGTTTATTAATCTCTGATTGTGTCTCAGTTTATTGTCCCTGGAGTTTAGAGCGTCCCGTCCAGATTGGTCATGACATCAGGCAATCGTTTAAGCTCAGCCCTTCAAGCTACATCAGCACCCAGCCAAGCCCACCTTGCATGACCATGGATAACCCATACTGGATCTGTAGGATACAGGATGGATACAGGATACCCTGATGAATCCTTATGATTCATTACTTGTGACATCAATGATACTGATCGTGCGCACTCATCTTGCAAAGCATCAAAGGGCATCAACATGCTGCTACAGGATCTACGGGTGGCAGGCACCTCCAGGACATGAGGACATGACTCACAGCCCATCGACCTAATGCCCTAGCGACGCCCTAGCGGCTCGAGCGCCTTGAGAACTGAGAACTAGCCGAACTCCAAACAGCCGAAACGGCCAAGAGTCTGGGCCGTCTTCCACTGCCAGGCTCTGGGCAAACATTTTGAAAGGAAATAGATCGCCTGCAGTGGAACTGGATTTGACAGAGCGACAAGTAGTTTCTAGCAAACATAGGATGAGATCCATATTTCTTGCGTGGGTCCATATTCGCACGCCTTACTGTGGTTCAAAAAGCCTAAGTCTTCTGCATCTTTTCATCGCGAGATTTGTTGACTCCCTAATTGAGTCCCCAGTGTCCGTAGTAAAAGTGCCTGATGTTTCAAAGGGAGAGATGATGAGTGGATTGCAAATCACAATAATTTCGATCAAGCAGCCAAGTGCAAATCATGCAACCAAATTCTTCGGTGTTCATTTCAGCAAACATGAGCATGATCATGATCTTTGCAACTCTTGCGATGGTCATGGTCATGCCGTGATGTAAGTATAAAGATTCTTAAATCCCAACCATTCTTTATCATCCTCGGATTGCACAAATGCCAGGAAATTTGTCCTGATTACCTTCTGGATGCCTTCGGCAAATCCCCCATAAATGAGCTGCTGCACGCCAAGCCACAATCATCCATGCAATGGCCATGGGGAAGATCAACACCTGGTGCCGAAGTCTGCAGTCTTGAAGACATCCTGCATTACCGAAGTATAACCCATTTTGTTAGCTACAAAAACCGTATTATAGCGAGAAACAAATACCCAATTGGGACGATTCCTTACAGCTGCCATGGAGTCTTTATACTTGGGTCCAGATTAATTGAACGATTGCCCACATTGCCTACAAACTAGAAGGGTATCTTCTGATAAAGCAAGAAATCACGACCAATTTTGTTCGCCGCTTACCAACGATCGAACCGGCTTCTGTGGTTAAACGTTGAGACAGGAGCTCCAGAACGAAGGAAGAGATCCAATGGGCAAAGCCTTCCAACGAGGTCCCTCTTTTGCTTTTTCCCAGGCCATTTTAGAAGTCTCTCTTTTTTTGGGCTACGTTTAAACGCTGAACACAGATATGACACAGATATGATAGATATGTAATGATATGTACATATTTGGCAAGTGCGGTTTCAACATATCTGTAGACGCATCCGCAAGGTCCGCAAGGTCCGCAAGGTCGTCTGGAGCTATACTCTCAGTTTTGGGCGTACACGAAGCGGTAGGTTCAGCGCACGATGCCACAGCTGTGCATGAGTGTGACTCAACTGACTATGAAAGACGCCAGAGGGGTGGCTTCATTGTTTTGGCTCTTGGAATGGTTGGCAGACAATCTGCTCCAAATCTGCAGCATGTCAGGAAAAATATGAAAACATCCCACTTTCAACATAGTGAATATTCAACTGATATCCACCTGACCCTGTTGCAAAACCAGGATCACCAGCTCGTTTTTATCACTATGTTCAACATCATGTCATGTGCAGATTCAGATTTGGGAAACCATGTGGCACTTCGGGAAACCTTGGAGATTCTCAACATACAGTGACAGCATTTTCCACTAAGCTGATTTGATATGATTTAACTATTTACCCGTTTAAGTTTATTTGACAGTATTGAATTAATCAATCCTACATCAGCCTACATTTGCAAAAATTAGGTTCCTGAAAAACTTGGGTGGATAGCTAAATCACGGTGACTGAACCAAATGGTTGCTAGCCAGCACTTATGGCCGATTCAAAACCTACACACAAGAAGTCGGAAAAGACTTGACAAACTTACGCCGATCTTTTTGGGAAATCAATAGGCTGCTTTGCGATCTTCAAGCTCATCAAGGATCCCCTCCACGCTTCAGAGTGCCGTTACTGGGTGCCAACACTCAACTGACCCCCGAGTGACTTTGAGAATGTAGCGGAGCAGGGCCCGTTCGCCACCAAAGCATGAGAAGGAGAAAGTGTCCAGATCCTATGCGGACCGGCATAGTTGATGGGATGACATGGGATAGCAACATACCAATGAATATCAGGGAATTCGCTACAGCCAACATCCATGTATGAGAAATGTATGCACGGGCCTGTGTGCTCCATCTGTTTTTCTTCAAATGGAAAGATACTCACAGTGCAGCGATGATGCTCAAGTGAAAACACATCTCCACATTATGCCACATTATGCCACATTATGCCACATTGCTATACATTGCTCGTTTTCGCGGTGCAATCATGCTCAACATGACTAAATGATTCTCGAAATGCGCATCTTTGAGCATTTTTTGCGTCATATTTGGACCCAGGCGCAAGGACCAAGAACTTCCCGAAAGATATTGGGCCGGACACGCTGGAGGGCCATTCCTCACAAGTTGAAAGCACCAGCATTCTGCAGCATTCAGAGATATTCAGAGCCTCTGCCCTCCGAAACTAAAGAGATGCCAAAGTGTGAAGAAATGCCACAGTGTGGCACAAAAACGTTAGGGCAACAAAAACATAAGGACCGTTTTCCGAGGGATGGTGAATGAATAGTGTGAATAGTAATCAGCTCATCGTACACCTCACATCCGAGACTCCACGGTCATCAGTCCAATAATCGCCACTGTCCTAAGGGCACAGACAAAGCACAGCACAAAGCAGAGCACATAAAGTAGGCAAAGTAGGCACAAAAATGCACAGAACACATCAGAACACATAGCAAAACTTAGAGACCGTCAGATTTTGCAGAAAGGTTTGCAACTACCGCATCACAACTTGTTCTCCTATGTGTCTTCAAAAAACTCTTACTGGGGGTCCTGCTTCAACCAAAAACTCAGGGTAAGTGGCTCATGATGTTGACAGTGCCATAATCAAATCCATCTCTCCTTGAAGGTGGTGGGTGAACCCATCACCATGCTTACAGTCTCTGAGCATAATTCAAAATATTCAAATACAGATCATCATGGACACACTGCTATCCATTTATCCCTGATTAGTCCCCACGGAGCGGACCTGGTGCATGCTGTGAGGTCAAGCGGTCAAGCGTGTTAAATGCACCGCTGGCTCTGGCTGGGGAGACAAAATAGACTGATAGTTTAAGAGGTTGGACAGGAGAAAGGACCGGAGAGAGCGCATGAATGTACCAAACACGTCTGGTCCTGTGTAAGGAAGGTTTGAAGAGCTAATCAGATCCTGCTGATGAAAAGGTCATGGATCATCCGCTGGTCCGACATAGTCTTATCACCTTCTGGATTGGAGGTCCACCAAGTCATGCCCAAAGCCCAAAAAACCCAAAAAGTCCAAACTCATCGTACAAGGGGCTGCAGCCATGTAAAGGACAAACCCAGGGACATATCCAAGGCCTGTCTGGCTGTTGCCTGCCGTGAAAGACAGAGAGGGCTTATGGGTATCCTTTGAGACACGAAACTTTACTTGGAATTCACGCGCGCTTCACCTCAGTTTACCTGGAAATTCCATGAAATTCGGCACCTGCTGGCCACCGAGTTGCAATGGCTTGGAATTTTGGTTCTAACACATAGTAGGAACCTCGGCTCGTTGAAGGGAAACATAGCAGAGATATGAGGATGGTGACGACTCAGACAATCTGTTCCAGCCGTCCAAGGAATCCCAGGTGTCCAAGGCACCTGGTTCAGGGTCATGTTTACAATGCGTACCAGGCGTAGTACCAGGTTATGACACACTGAATTGGTCGAGGTTCGGAAACTGGACAAACCAGGGAAGGTGCGAGTGAGCTCTTATTGGGTTTGGTATTTCCATGGGTCACTTGGGTCAGTGTCAATAAAGGGAGGATTGGCTTGAAAGATCGTGAGAGGGGTTGTGGAGTTGAGGGGATCACACGATCTGCCAACAGGTACAGTGTGTGCAACACCTGCTGGCCAAAAATCAAGCATCAAAGCAACTTGGCCCGGTAATTTGAACTTCACACCCAGTGCTAGGAAAATAATGCCTAGAACAAGTGACGCCAGCACCTCACAATTCCCAAAAATTCAATATCGATATATACATGTATATATACTTATATACATTATATACAGTAGTGCCCGGCCCGCGCCGGGGCGGAAGTTTCGAAAAACAAAGAATACTATAGGAAGAAAATGGCCTATAGGAAAGTTTTTGAGATGCAAAAACCACGAAGTGAAGTTGTGAAGTGCACCAACGAATGAGCAAATGGTTGTTGAGATGCCAATGAAAGGAGATGAAAGAATCTATGCACAACTGACTGAATGAATCAATGAACCAATGAATCGATGAATCAGACGATGAATCAATCAGTCAACCAATCAGTCAATCAACCAATCAAACAGCCAATCAACAAATCAGGGAAATCAAAAATCAAATAATGCATGAAGCAGTGGATCCACGACTAATGAATCAATGAATCAATGAATCGGTGGATCAGTGACTCAGTGATTCAACGAATCAATGAATCAATCAACCAATGCACCAACGAATCAGTGAGCCAATGAACCATTGAATCTATGAATCAGTGAATGTATGAATGATTGCATGCATGCATGCATGCATGAATGAATGAATGAATGAACGAACGAACGAATAAATGAACGAGCGAAAGCACGGATGAATGAATGAATGAACGAACGAACGGATGAATGAATGAATGAATGAAGGAAGGAAGGAAGGAAGGAAGGAATGATTGAATGAATGAATTGAAGGATGGGTGGATGGATGGATGAATGAGTTACTTTTCTTTGTGAGATACTTCTTCACTGAGCGACCTCTTCGCCGAGGCACTCTTCTCTCAGCTACTTCTTCTCCGAGCAGCCGCTTGTCTGGGGTACTTCTGCTATGACCTGCCTCCAGCTAGCTCTTCTGCAGGTTCTGCAACTCAATTCTTCTCTTCGCGCAGCTGTTCCAATGCATTTAGCAGCCTCCAGCGGCAATCCCGCATAGCACACGAGTAGCACTATGGTCAAGAACTACCTGTCGCGCAGCCGTTACAATGCGTTTAGCAACCTCCAGCTGCAATCCCACTTGCCAGGAGCATCGCAACATCACTGATGCTTTCCTGCGCGCGGCCGTGCCAATGCGTTTTATGACAGCCGGTTGCAAACCGGCAAAGCACGAGCGTTGCACCAAATCGACCAACGCTCGCGCAGCGCTGACACTGGGGGCTCGACTGCACAAATCCGGGCCCCAAACGTGCCTGTTTTCCACGGGCGGCGTCCGAATCGGTCACCAGGATCGGTCACCAGTATATCTGAATCGGTCACCGGATTCGCAGGATCGGACACCGGGATAGTAGAATCGGACACTAGAATCGGACACCGAGAATCGGTCACCAAACGGATCAAGACATGTTCGAGTATATACCAACTATACCAAACCAACCCGAATCGGTCACCAAGCAGATCAAGAATTGTTAGGGTATAGCAACTAAACCAAACCAACCCGAACCGGTCACCAAGCAGATCGAGAAAGGTTAGGGTATAGCAACTATACCAAACCAACCCGAATCGGTCACCAAGCAGATCAAGAAAGGTTAGGGTATAGCAACTATACCAAACCAACCCGAATCGGTCACCAAGCAGATCAAGAAAGGTTAGGGTATAGCAACTATACCAAACCAACCTTGCTCTTCGTGCACAACATGCCTCTGGCAGTTGCTGCCCGGGATCCCTCCACGGAGATACCATTGCTAGGCGCTCGGCAATGCTCGTGCGCAGGAAGCTTCAAGTCCATCTTGGTATCCCTAGACGTCCCTAGGCCTACAAAAAGCAGTTGCAGCGACTTGGTCGTCTGCAAACAGCACTCTACATCAAAGGATGATCATTTAACAGTTCCGTACATTTCATACGGTTAAAAGAAAATTCAAGAGGCGGATCAACATGATGAACTTGTAATGCAACATCTTGAGATCAGATCACACCACGTTATGTATGTTTGCGTTCAACCCAGCGCTCACTCTCAATGATCAGTGGAGGTCCACAGTAGGTAAAGCAGCGAGTTCGTGCCCTTGGCCCAGGCTTCAATGGGATTTGTGTGGAGTAGTTTCCTCAACCCAAGCCAAGCAGAAAGTAGGCTACTTTGGGTTGAATGCGAAACTCTGCATTTCCAAACAATAAATAGAATCAGTGCGATCAATGAATTCTATCTGCATCATTGCGCATCTTGCCTCGGATGAAAATGTGGCCACATAGCTTTAGTAACTATGGGTGAAAGGATACGGCCTGAGATCTTGTGACGCCCTCACACACATACAGATATGTTCGGCTAGCCAATGTTCCGAGTATACGGTAGCGATCCAGGCAATCAAAGTAGTTCAAGAGCCCTGCTCAACAACACTTCAAACATATTCAATCAAACCCTTCTGCTTAAAGATAAAGTAATGTCTATTGGACATCTCCCACTCTGAGCATCTAGCCTCTCAACAGGGCCAGACGAAAAACGCGTCTCGGAAACAGGAAATGATAGTGGGTGATGCGCGGCAAGAAATTTATCAACAGTAAGGGCCTCTAATGTTGATGAATTCGTCTGACATCAATAAGACCATTTCCTTTTCATGCGAGACTAGTCATGCCCTGATCAACAACACTTCAAACATTTTCAATCAAACCCTTCTGCTATAAAAAACAATGTCTATTGGACATCTCCCACTCTGAGCATCTAGCCTCCCAACAGGGCCAGGCGAAAAACGCGCCTCGGAAAGGGGAAATGATAGTGGTTGATGCGCGGCAAGAAATTTATCAACAGTAAGGGCCTCTAATGTTGATGAATTCGTCTCACATCAATAAGACTGTTTCATTGTCATGCGAAATTAGTCCTGCCCTGCTCAACAACACTTCAAGCATTTTCAATCAAACCGTTCAGCAAAAGAAACAACAGCTTCCAATCGACATCTTCCACTCTGAGCATCTAGCCGTCCAACAGGGCCGTGAACACAAACGAAAAAAATGCGCCTTGGAAAGGGGAAATGATAGTGGGTCATAGTGGGCGATACGCAGAAAGAAATTTATCAACAGTAAGGGCCTCTAATGTTGATGAATTCATCTGACATCAATAAGACTGTTCGTTGTCATGCGAAACTAGTGAGACCCTGCTCAACAACACTTCAAGCATTTTCAATCAAACCATTCAGCACAAGAAACAACAGCTTCCAATCGACATCTTCCACTCTGAGCATCTAGCCGGCCAACAGGGCCAAACAAAAAACGCGTCTCGGAAAGGGGAAATGATAGTGGGCGATGCGCGGCAAGAAATTTATCAACAGTAAGGGCCTCTAATGTTGATGAATTCGTCTGACATCAACAAGACTATTTCGTTTTCATGCGACACTAGTCATGCCCTGCTCAACAGCATGTCAAACATTTTCAATCAAACCATTCAATCCATTCTGCAAAAAATACTTTGCTTTGAGTGATCCCCACCATGGCATTCAATTCATCCCATCTGACATTCTATCTGGCAAATCTTCTGGCATTCTATTTGGCATTCTGTTTGAGATTCTATCTGGCATATCTTCTGGCATTCTATCTGTCATATCTTCTGCCATTCTATCTGGCATATCTTCTGACATTCTATCTGGAATATCTTCTGACATTCTATCTGGCATATCTTCCCACATTCTATCTGGCATTCTATCTGGAATATCTTCTGACATTCTATCTGGCATATCTTTTGGCATTTTGTCTGTCATATCTTTTGACATTCTATCTGGAATACCTTCTGACATTCTATCTGGCATATCTTCTGACATTTTGTCTGTCATATCTTCTGACATTCTATCTGGAATATCTTCTGACATTCTATCTGGCATTCTATGTGGCATATCTTCTGACATTCTATCTGGCATATCTTCTGACATTCTATCTGGAATATCTTCTGAAATTCTATCTGGTATATCTTCCGACATTATATCTGGCATTCTATCTGGAATATCTTCTGACATGCTATCTGGCAGATCTTCTGACATGCTATCTGGCAAATCTTCTGACATGCTATCTGGCAAATCTTCTGACATTCTATCTGGCATATCTTCTGACATTTTGTCTGTCATATCTTCTGACATGCTATCTGGCATATCTATCTGGCAGATCTTCTGGCATGCTATCTGGCATATCTATCTGGCAGATCTTCTGACATGCCATCTGGCAGATCTTCTGACATGCTATCTGGCAAATCTTCTGACATTCTATCTGGCATATCTTCTGACATTTTGTCTGCCATATCTTCTGACATTCTATCTGGCATATCTATCTGGCAGATCTTCTGACATGCTATCTGGCAGATCTTCTGACATTCTATCTGTCATATCTTCTGCCGTTCTATCTGGCATATCTTCTGACATTCTATCTGGAATATCTTCTGACATTCTATCTGGCATATCTTCCGACCTTCTATCTGGCATTCTATCTGGCAGATCTTCTGACATTCTATCTGGCATATCTTTTGACATTTTGTCTGCCATATCTTTTGACATTCTATCTAGCATATCTATCTGGCAGATCTTCTGACATGCCATCTGGCAGATCTTCTGACATTCTATCTGGCAAATCTTCTCACATTCT